GATGTCGCTGGCTTCTGTAATCAGAAATCTGGAAACAGAGGGAAAGGTTTCAACAGAAGACATTTATACAGAAGACTGAGTAGAAAGTAGAAATTGTAAAGTCAAAAAAGAGAAAGGGAAAGTAAAAGATTAATTTTCAGAAGGAAATGTAAAGAAAGAAATGAAAAACTTAGATGGACTTCAAATTTGCCTATGAAAAGAAACAGGAAGCAAGAAAGTAGAAACAAAGAAGCAGAGAGAGATTTAAGTGCAGAGTTCACTTGGTGGGCTGGCTGTACTTGAACTGGCATTATGCAAGGCGACTAAACGTTAACAACTTCCTGTAGTTAGACAGAGAGAGTGGTGAGGAGAAAGAAAGCATGATACTTCCACTTCTTCCCCAAATAGGGCTCTTTTCAAACCCTCTTACTCTTGAGATTTAAATATTCCCAGCAGAAGTGAGCAGTTCACAGACTGTCTAATGAGCTTGCCATCAACCCCGCTTTAAACTTCCGACGGTCTGATACACAGGTCACCTTGATACCTGATACTCATCATTTCCTGGTGCCCCCCACTGAACTTTTGAAATTAATATCCTGTTACACAACTCTAGTGAAGAGATAGGAGACAGTGAACAGCACCTTAGTTCAGCAAGGTAATGGTAAGAGTAAGCCCAACAAGTTACGGGAACACACACAAAGGGACAGGTCCTGTAAGACCTTGGAGAGGGGAAAGCTGCCAGCAAGTGCTGCCCCTGTCACCAAAGGGATCTTCTAGGAAAGAGTTTATAGAATGTAGAAGCAGGACAAAAGAAAGGATCTTCTACTGTGGGAAGGCTGGGGACAGGGCAGTTACTACAAGTGTAAGTGGGTTGGTAGAGCTGGGAGCTGAGAACGTCCATCAGAAGCCTTGTCACAGAGACACTTGCATGCCACGGCATTTGGAATTGACCCAGAGAGAAGCATGGGGTTCTAGAGTGGTTATAAGTAGAGGATTGACTGTGATCAGTTTTGTGTTTGGAAATCATTTGGATGGCCGAATGCAGCACACAAGTGAGGAAGCTAAGATGGACAGGATGCTCACTGTGAGAAGGAGTAGTGTCCTGTGAGGCAGAAAGAAACAGTGAGAACGAGAAGACATCGATACATCATCAGGAGTAAAATCCAGATCTGGTAGCCGTTGTCATTCAGGCCCATCCCTTGGGGACCCGCCCAGCATCTTGATGTCATCTTATGTAAAGCCTCCTTTAAGAGGAAAAAAATCCCCTCCCCCTCCTTCTTCCTCCTCTCTCCCTCTTTCCCTTCACAAGGCTGGGTGCACCTCAGCTTTCCTTTCTCTCCTTTTCTCTCTCTTTCCCTCTCTTTCTCTCTCTCTCTCTCCCTCGTTCTCTCTATTCCCTCTACCCTCCCCCTTTAATAATAAAACTTTCCACGTGGACGCTGTGCCTGAGTGGTGTGAGTAACTTTCCACCATGTCCCCTTGGCTGTCGCCTGCATGGCATGTCTCCTTGGCTCAAACCCACCAAGGCCCCTCGCATGCCGTTTCACAACAGTAGCTGAATAAAACTTTGGCATAAGAAGGAACTGTGAAGAGAAATACCCAGGTGTTTGTCCTGGATAACTGTATTAACGGCAGTGTTTTCAATGTTTTAGATGTTCCAAAACTCCTTGTACAATAAGAGAAATCAAAGTTCTCAATGGTCTTGATTTGCTTTCATCCATTCAACACTGTTTACTTGTTCTAGGCACAAGGACTAGACCAGGAAAGAAGTCGGAAGCTATGGAATAATAACCAAGAGAAATGGGGTGGGATAAAGGAATCCATAAGGCCCAACAAAGGCTAGCTACCACAAGGAGTCATGGTTCCAATGCCTTTTCAGTAACCCTGGGTGCTGTGGGATGTTCTGTATGTCAAATGTGTTGCTCTGATTGGTTAATAAATAAAACACTGATTGGCCAGTAGCCAGGCAAGAGGAAGTATAGGTGGGACAAGGAGAAGAATTCTGGGAAGTGGAAAGCCAGGGCAGAGAGACACTGCAAGCCGCCGCCATGACAAGGAAGATGTAAGGTACCGGTAAGCCACGAGCCACATGGCAAAGTATAGATTAATAGAAATGGGTTAATTTAAGATATAAGAACAGTTAACAAGAAGCCTGAGCCATTAGGTCAAACAGTTTAAATAATATAAGCGTCTGTGTGTTTATTTTATAAGTGGGCTGAGGGACCCTGAAAGAAAACTCTCTAGCTACACCTGGGAAGTGCGATGATAACAGAGAGGGCAGAGGGAGAAGGTGGACTGAACACAGGCTGAGAAACACGGAACAATGAAGAGAAAAGAAAAGAAAAAGACAAGGTAGAGAGCAGCGTGTGTGACTAATGCAAGTGCTATCAAATTCCCTCCTAAAGGCGCAGGCTGGCTAGAGAAGCCGGATATGCCAGAAATGGGCCAATCAGAGACTAGAGTCAGGAGAAACAGCTGGAAACCAAGGAATTGGTAAGGAAGGAGACCTAGAGGAATAGGAGAGTCCATCAGAAAGCGTGGTGCTCCCCAATTCCCGGTGGCAAAATGGCTCCATATGGAGTGGCTCTTTATAAACACAGCAGAGTGCTGAGAAGCAGGACCGGCACAGGTGTTACAGAGTGAACACTGAGTGGGGTGAGAAAAGAGCATCCCTACAATTCCAGCTGTTCGAGCGGGTGAGGCGACAGTACATGGTTTGAGGCCAGCCTGGGCAAGTGAAGCAAGACTCAGCCACAAAATATTAAAAGAGGGCTAATGGCAAATGATGAAAATAAAAAGAAAAAATAAATAAACATTAATGGTCAAATAAGTGGGGGGGGTCAGAGACAATCTTCAAGCAAAGTAAGATGTGCTGGGGGGGTCGCAGAAATGGAAGAGAAGGGTGACACTATTAAGAAATCAGGGTCGCCGGGCGGTGGTGGCTCACGCCTTTAATCCCAGCACTCGGGAGGCAGAGCCAGGTGGATCTCTGTGAGTTCGAGGCCAGCATGGGCTACCAAGTGAGTTCCAGGAGAGGCGCAAAGCTACACAGAGAAACCCTGTCTCGAAAAACCAAAAAAAAAAAAAATCAGGGTCAATTTTTATGGAAAAGGAACTGGGAGTGGGGGAGGAGAAGGATGCTAGAGGTATTGGCATCATGAAGAGGAAACTCTTCTCGATAAGGGTAGATGTAGGCAGCAATCATGAGAAGGGAACCTACCTAGTCCAGAAAAGCATTCATTTTTTGAGCAGATGTGCTATAGTAGAAGGGAGGTGCACATCAGCCTCTCTCATCCTGCTCACCAAACTGGAAACCAAAGTAGATATGGGCAGGAAAAAACAACATGGCAAGGTATGTGCTGGAAAGGATGTAGTCGCAAGCTTTCTCTTCATTAACAACTTTAAAATAAACACACCTGAGACTTTAAATCACGAATGGGTCTGGAAACTTCAAGGTCATTTCAAGTTCATTCACCACAATACTTCCCATATCTTGTCACTGAGCATCTCCATAACGAAGTCTCTGAGGTGGCCTCACATTTGAACGTAATCTAAGTGCTTCCTAGGCAGCAAATAAAAAATTTCTTGCCAATCAGGGTCTGGGCACAGACAAGTTCATTGATCAAACAGACCAATGCAGGAAACTTGAGGTTTCCTATTAGACAAACAGCACACACAAAATGCCAGAAAGTAGTGACTAACAGGTGTGGGTGACAGGAGACGCATATAAAAGGTTTCATCCACACCCTCTTTTGTGGCTTTTACCCTGGTGCCACCACCACACCTATGAGTTTCGATCATTAAAATAATAAAGACATAGAGTAAAACCTGCTGACAATCCATGCAGGAAGCAATGGACAGTTCAAGAGCTAAACTTGGTAGCACAGAACAAGACTCAGTTTGGAGAATGTCTGATATTGGTGTGTGTGTGTGTGTGTGTGTGTGTGTGTGTGTGTGTGTGTGTACATATGTATATAGTAGACACACATCTCACTTGCATATATTTGATTGTTGTTCTTGTTACTTGACAGGGTCTTCCTGGGTATCCCTAAATGTCCTGTTACTGGTAATGCAGCCTATGCTGGCTTTAAACTCAGGGCAATCATCTGGCCTCATCCTATGACATGCTGGTATACCAGGCATGTGCTGCCATGCCCGGGTTAGCTATTGTTTTTTCCGCTTGATCTACGTGTGTGCTGATGTATGTAATTTAACTTATCTTCAGATGATCTTTGAGAAATGTCCCTTCCTTTATCCCACGTACAGAACGTTGACACTGTAATCCAAGAATATAATGGGGATGCACAGAGGTAATGTTTTGTTTTTTGTTTTTTAAATATCTGCGAAGTGTTAGAAGACAGTGGCAAAAGTCCGTGTCTGGTGGTGAAATGAAGTGTCTGTGTGGAAACCTAATGTGAGTAACATCGTATGTAGACAGAGCAATAATATAGATCTCAAAATTGGAAGAGTAGCTGCCGTCCTATAAGCTGCCTACAGTTTAAAGAGTGCTTCCTGTGCACTGAACTTTTCTGTCCATCATTGGTGGACATCCTCATGAGGGATTTTCCGGAATAGAGCAGGAAAGACTCAAAGCAGCTCTCCGGGGGACCCAGTGCCTGGTGGCATGTTTAAAATCCCATTAGCCTCCCCTTTAAAACAGGCACCCCACTTTCCAGGTGTGCCTGGCGACTGGGAGTTCGCCTTCTGAGTCACAGCCTCTGTCTTCCTGCCCAACTGGGGAAAGGGGATGAGAACCGGCTGGGAGACTGGGGTGGGATGGGCCGGTGGGACTCGTTGAACCTTGAGCGCAGGGACAGCAGGTGATCTGACGAGCCGAGGAGAGCTGCGGATCTGGCGCCGGAGCGCACCGCACCTGTCCGGGTGACCCTTGCGGGTGCCGGGGCGGAGGCGCGCTCACCTGCGCCCACGTGATGGGGCGGGGCTCTGTCGGCAGCGGGCCCGTGGCCACGCCCTCTCCGCGCTCGGCACGCCCGGAGCCCGCGGACCGGATCGGCGGCGGCGGCGGCGGCGGCGGCGGCCAAGCCCGGGAGGCGGAGGCGGGACGCGCGCGGGAGGCGGTGGCGGCTGTGCGCGGAGACGTAGCAGCGGCAGCATGTCGGCCGGCGGAGCGGCAGTCCCGCCGCCCCCGAACCCCGCTGTGTCCTTCCCGGCGCCCCGGGTCACCCTGCCCGCCGGCCCCGATATCCTGCGGACCTACTCGGGAGCCTTCGTCTGCCTGGAGATTGTAAGTGGGGTAGCGTAGAGCACGATCTAGCCCCCCGGGAGCAGGGACAGGCAGCAGCATCCTTGCCCCCAGCCTGGTCTGGCCCCCTCGGCGCCCTCCTTCAGCCTCCTTCCTCTAGAAGTGGCCTTTTTCCTGCCGACGGTCTCGGGGTCCTCTCCACGTTGTGCCGGGGCCTCTTGCCTGGCACCTGTTACGCGGACACCTGCTCGCCCGGCCTGGAATGGAAATGTCCCTTAGAGAGCGAGCAGGCAAAGGGCCCAAGATTAGGGACTTGGGCAGGAGAGGGGTGGTAGCGCTTGGAGAAGTCTTGGGGAACTCGGCTTTGGACAGGGTCTACGCTTGGCTAGAGGAGGAACCAGCGCCCTCGGCCCCTCCTGTCGCTAACCTGCCATTTTGTTGGGTGGTGCAAAGGTGGACTGATGACTGGGTGGCCAGGAAGCTGCTAGGATGTGGAAAGCCTGGGCGGGAGGCGCCAGGGAAAGGAGGAGAAGCAGGCTGAAACCTGGGTATGGTTTTCGCCGGACTCACCCTTGCCGTCGTCAATGCCCTTTGGATTGGGGAAGAACAGGGCAGGGAGAAAGGTGAGATGGTAAGTGCAGTTGGCAGTGTGTAATCAAGTGGGTGTGAGGACGGTAGGGGAAAGTGGAAATGCGGGGTGTCGGCTACAGCCCTCGCCTTTGCACCTTGCCCTTTTCCAGTTTACCTGAGAATCCCCAACCTTCCCTGAACACTTTCCTTGACCCGAGTAAAGTTGGTGTCCCAGGCCTGCCCTGCAAACCTTGTTGAACTAGACACTTGAACTTAACGACGAAAGGAATGCTGTGGAGTTGGGAGCTTTTGAAGCTCCTTGTGGACCAGGGGGGAATGTGTAAATATAAGTTGGGCAACTAAGGTTGCATCATGCCCAGAGAATGTCAAATAGAAAGAAATGTTAGCAAGTCAGGGAGGGCCTTTCCTGCAGGCTGGTTTTGTTTGCTCCGTTTAGGGTTTTCATGTCACTCATCCTCTCCTGTGAGTTTGCATAACCTGGATCTGGGTCACTCTGGCTTCCCTTTTGTGCTGTGGAGCTGAAAACCTTGTGAGCATTGGTTTTCTGCCCCATTATGCTTAGGTGGCCAAGGCACCTTAGGTTTAGCTCAGATTTGAATCTGCAAGAAGAGACCCAAGTGAGTCACAGGCTGTGGCAGCTCTGGTCAGAGAGTCACTGTGAGGCTAGAAGACCCTGGTGTGGGTTCGGGTTCGAGCCCAGTTCAGCAGCGTAGGAATAAGACTGAGATGAGTCGCAGGCATCCATAGGAGAGGAACAGGGAGAGATGGCATTGGACCAGCCTCCTGGCTGTGGACGGACACAACCTTTAACACAGGAAGCTTTGGCGAGAAAGAGTTCACAGATTGTGGGCTCCTTTCCTGCCGTGTTCAAGTTCCACATGCTCGCTTCCTCTTTCAGGAGTTCTTCCCACGTCTTCACTTACTTCCTACTTATCCTGAAATTTACCGAAGATCCATATGCAGAGACTCACTGCCTAACCTTTGGTTAGAAGTTAGCCCCATCCTCAGCATCAGTATACATTTAATCTCAAATTTGATATGTTGGTTATATATTTATTCAAATATATTTATACAGTATAATTTGCATACATATACACATGGAATATATATACATACATACATACATACATACATACATACATACATGGAATGTATGCATAGAAGTCTTTCCCACCTGTTACCAAATGAAATGGGACTCAGGACCCACCTGTGGATGGGCCACACTTTATGGAACACTGTAATTCTGAAGGTGAACTAAGAGTCACCAAAGAGGTGACTTATTGAACTCCTCCTAGCTCCCTATCTCCTTTTCCTATCTACCACAGTAGTTAGTTCTCAGCTCTTGCTGTACTTAATAACTTGGCAGCTTCGAAAAGTACTGTTGCCAGCCCAGGCTAATTAAACCAGAATCTCTAGGGGCGCACCCAGAGTCAGCTAATTTTTTTTTAAAGGTTCCCTGGAGATTCTAATACACAGAATAGCTGCAACCCACTGATACAGCCTTCGAGCCAGGCTCTGCCGAACAGAGAAATAAAGAGGTTTTTTTCTCACAAATGTGAATGTTTTTGTTTGTTAGGATGGATAAGATGATTAGATCCTGGAAGTGTGGGGAAGTATCCCACACACTTCAAATAAGCAAAGATAGCTTGCTTCCTGCTTTCTCAAACTTCTTCTTCTCTGGCAACTTACTACCCCTGACATGTGCTCAGACTCTTATCAAAATAGAAGAATCTCTTCCCGAAGCCATTTGGACTTGCACTTTGGTGTGTGTGTGTGTGTGTGTGTGTGTGTGTGTGTGTGTGTGTACATGCATGTGCAGTTCATGTGGGGGTATGTGTGTCATGCCTGTATGTCCAAGTGCATATGTAGGCCAGAGGACAACCTGTCACTCCTCAGGAACTGTCCACCATTTCTTTTTTTTATATTTTGCTTGTTTATTGAGGGAAGGGGAGGAGGGCATGCTCACTCCACAGTGCTTGTCCAGAGGTTAGAGGATGAATTCCAGGAGTCAGTTCTCTACTTCCAGGCGGGTTTCAGGGGTCAAATTCAGATTCACAGGCCTGAGGTTAGGCCCTGTTCCCCACTGAACCATCTCACTGTCTTGTCAACTCTGTTTTGGCCATGGAGATCAGGGTGAGAAAGATCTCTTATTGGCCTGTAACTTGCCAAGTAGAATAGGCTGGCTGGCCAGGGATCAGCTTGGCCCTGCCTGTCTAGTCCTGAGATCACACATCACCATACCCAGCTTTCTTAGGTGAGGCCTGGGGGTTGAAGTCAGGCACTTTTGGAGTAAAGTGGAAAGGCTTTATTGAGTGGGCTACCTTTCTAGCCCCACCTTTTAATTTTTATTTTCATGGCCAAACATCCTTCCAAGTTTAAGTCGGCAGTATCTTTTACCTCTTCCCCAAACCTCCTGTTACCTCTCCCCATGGGGAGGATCAAAATGTACCAACGAAACCAGTGACCTCAGGGAAATGAGAAGCCACTTTGAGCCCAACCAACAGTTCCTTCTTGGCCTCCATCCTTCTGGAATGCTTCGTGATACTGGATCGTAGGATTAAGAAAGCAGCCAGCAGGCAGCCTTGGTGGTCTTCTGCCTAGAATGCCCACTCCAATGAAGTGCAGAGAAGAGCCAAGTCACTCATCTGAAGCACCTTCATCCCTAAGTTTCACAATTTCCCTAGGAATTTTGATTCCTAAGTCACAGACTCCCACTTCAGAAATTATTCTCCCTGTAAATTAAATGTGAGGATTCCCTAGGCTCAGTCTCAAATACAAAGTGAACTCTAGCCTGGAACCAATTATTTTAGCTTCTGTTGATGTTTCTGGGTGTCTCTAAACTCGTTTTTAATTTTGACCTTCCATTGAAATCCATTTATCTCCAAGATGTCTTCCTTCTGTGTCATGTTGTTCTCGGAAGCTATGTGAACTGTGTTCAGTGAAGATGGTTTTGTCTACCAGTAGGAGACTCAGCTAATGAGACTGTGGTCTTGGAATTCAGTTTTCGTACTAACTTTGCTCAAGGAATTTAATCCCAGTCTCTGGTACTATATGCACTCATGACTCTCTGTTAATAGTGCCTGCCACCAGAACCAAGTAAGGCAGTTCACAACATCTGTTTCATAAGTGGGGACTGTTGTGGGATGGTCTGTATGTCAAATGTGTTGTTGACTGACCAACCAAATTCCCAAATATACCAAGCTGACTTTGGAGATGTGTAAAGGTTAAAACCTTCCTTTTTAAGAAAAGAAAAGGGGAAGTGCTATGGGATGGTCTGTATGTCAAATGTGTTGCTGATTGGTCAATAAATAAATCACTGATTGGTCAGTGGCCAGGCAGGAAGTATAGGCGGGACAAGGAGGAGAAAAAACTGGGAAGTGGAAGGCTGAGTCAGAGAGACACTGCCAGCCGCCATGATGACAAGCCGCATGTGAAGATGCCGGTAAGCCACGAGCCATGTGGCAAGGTATAGATTAATGGAAATGGATTAATTTAAGCTGTAAGAACAGTTAGCAAGAAGCCTGCCACGGCCATACAGTTTGTAACCAATATAAGTCTCTGTTTTACTTGGTTGGGTCTGACGGCTGTGGGACTGGCAGGTGAGAGAGATTTGTACTGACTGTGGGCCAGGCAGGAAAACTTTAGCTATAGGGGACTATTCCAATTTTGCATTCATGATATGGGTTTTTGAGATAGGTATATTCTACCATTGGTTTCCTAACTTGGCAGCCCCTTGGTTTTGGCCCCAGCTATCCTTACCTGATGTATCCTTACCGTATTATCTGTATATAGAATTTAATACAAGGTTCATATTGCAAAACCAAGCATTTTAGCTCAGGCTGAAAACATTAACACCAAAAATTATCATTTTCAGGGTCCATGACAAAGGACCAATATTGGCGAAATTATTAAGGCCACTCCACGTAGTTAAAAGGGAGATTTATTTAATGGCATAACTTACAAATGAAGGGATAGGTAGGTTGCAGGTTCTGTGAAAGACACAGAGTAGTCCGGCAGTGTTCTCTGGAGAACTCTCCTCGGTCTACCTCTAGCATCCCAGTCCAAGCAGGAAGAGAGGCAGTGAAACCGAATCTCGGGTCTTCAGGGTCCTCTCTTGACCCCGCCTTGTAGGCGTGACAGTTACCGAAGCCTCAATGGGGGTTGAAACTTCCAGATCAAAGCTGGAATGGTTACCCACTACAGACCAATGAGTAAAGAACTTGTTGCAAAATTATGAGGACTTCTGTTCAAGTCCGCAGGACTCTTGAGAAGCTGCCCTCTATGGTAGTTTATGTTTGTAGTTACTCCGGTGTGTGATGGGATGCGAAGTCAGTAGAATCCCTGGAACCTCGTGGGCCAGAGAACCTCACCTAGGCAGCAGTGAACAAGAAAACAGACCCTGTCTCCAACAGTGGGAACACTGGGGTCCGACACTCAAGGCTGTCCACACT